ACTCATAGCAGCTCAGCCCCAGGTTGAGCTGTTGTTCAGCATCTTAGCTGTGTAGGGCAGTGTCACTGGCCCTCATATGTGGGATCCGAACCAGGGCCCTCTGGCGTCCCAAGCCAGCTCTTAACCAACGCGCCACTCGGCTGGCCCTACAGTAAACCAGTTGCTTTGCAGTGTGTTAGATATGTAAATATAAGAACCAATAAACTACATCTTTGATGTGCTTTAAAAGAGAATTTAAGTTCCAATATTAATATGATATCAATTACTTTGAATCAATCATTTAGAGGTCAGTTCAGTTTCCTTCTTTCAGAAAGGCTGTCCTCTGTGTAAAACGGAAAAAGTTTGGTCTGAATTTTAGTTCTGCTACTTACTGGCATGTTACTTGACCTCTCTAAGAAAAATATTGTGAGATTTGAGAAAATTACAGATTTTATTTAGTGCTCCAAATATAAACTAGAATAAGATCTTTCTCTCCTCTAACTCGAAGAAACTAAAAGTTTCTAGATTAAAACCAACTTCACCTCTGGCATCTACTCTACCATCAGCTTATCTTCAAAGGAGTTCATGTGGCAGGACCACGCACCAGACCCTTCCTTAGCCAGGTTATATTCCTGTGACGAGGCTAGAATTATGCCAGCTTCTGTTTACACTGTCCCCCTACAGCAAGTTTCCCAGTTACTTTCAATTGTACCAGTAGAGCTTTGCCAGGAGAGGGCACTCCTGCCCACATAAAGGTTAGTTTTGTGCAGCCTGTCCTGGGGCAAGGGTAAAAAATTAGACTATAATTTTAAGAACTATGGTGTCTGTTTTTAACTGCTGAGAGACAGTCTGAGTGAAAAACCTGACTCAAACATATTCTTTTAGCATCTAAATCCTGAAAATAATGAAGGAAATTGGCAAATTTTACCCTCGGGAGTGGTACTCACATTTTCCTTTGATACCTCCTTACAGTTTTAGTGAAGTCTTTTAATTAATTAATTAATTACTTTATTTTTATCAAGATATAATTGACATAGCACATTGTGTCAGTTTAAGGTATACAACATGTTGATTCGATACACTTATACATTGCAATATGATTACCACCTTAGTGTTAGCTGACATTTCTATTACCTCACATAATTATAATTCCTTTTTTGTAATGGGAACATTTAAGATCTAGCTTCTTAGCAACTTTGAAATATTTAATACAATATTGTCTATAATCACTATGCTGAGGGAAGTAAGTAGTTTACTTATTGCTTCCAGAACTCTATGTGTAATAATATATGCCAGTTACATAAAATTTAGACATTTAATCTGTCCTGGCATATATCTAGAAGTTGTTCATCAAAATGTTAAGAGTAGTTTCCGCTGGGTAGAAGGTTTTAAGAAAATTTTAAAAGAAAATTTCTTATTTGTATTTTTCTGTATGTTGGAATTACAAAAAAAAGTATACATGTTGGAATTACAAAAAAAAGTATACATGTTGGAATTACAAAAAAAAGTATACATTTACGAAGACATTATTCCCCAAACAGGAAACATTGAAAATTAACCTCAGAGCAGATTCTTATGAGTTTATTTTTTAACCCAGGAAAGACCATGGTCTGCTACTCATTTTGGAAGATAATCTCTAGATTACCAATGGAAAACGTTTTTCACATTGTGACCCTGGGTTATTTCTATCAGAATTACCTCTGATGCTTGTTAAACATACACAGTTCCAAGTTTCCATCCCCACCACTACCTTGACCCAACCAAAGCCAGTAAGTCACCATCTCTGGGAGTAGGGCTCCTACATGGTTCCCAAGCATGCCTGGTGAAAGGTATATATACTTGTCTAAGAACCACTGCTTAGGGCAAGAAGAACGGGGAGGAGTAGCAAGTTCACCTGTGTCATTCATGTTTACATTTATATACATTCTCACCTATCTTTGTCTCTCCACCTGTTTTCCCACAGTCTATAGAAGCTGAAACTTAGATGAACGAAGGGCATGGAGTATCAGCTGTCTTTTTTGTTTTAGAAAAAAATTTTTTTCAGTTATAGCTGATATTCAATACTATTTTATATTAGTTTCAGAATAGCAGGTGGTTTAAGGATTAACATCCTTAGGAAAACCCACAGAATGGCTCATATTCATGCAATCACCAATCGTTTTATCTCCGTTTCTGTCTCACCTTACCTGGTGCTTGGGTTTTTGATGAAGCCAGTGTTAATGAAATTAGGGCAGAGACATGAGGTTTTGATTCCGTTTCTTTCTAAGGCAGCCAGTTCGACAGTCAACGCTCTATGAAATCCAACAGCAGCAAACTTGCTTGAACTGAAAATGAACAGAGAGGTCACAAAATAATTCAAGAAAGCTGCCACATCTATTTAATTCAGATGTGTGTTTTCCTTCAGTAAGTGTGGTCCTGTCAAGCAGCACGGGCAGCACCTGACTTCCAAGGCCCAGCCCAGGCCTACTGAATAAGAATCTGCATTCTAGAAGGTTCTCAGGTAAACTTATAGGCATATTGAAGTCTAAGAAGCACTGATGTAGAACATTTATTGTATCTCAACATCCTTTATCAGAGTGACAACTGAGTAGGTTTAAATGTCTTGTTAGGGAAATTGGTAGGGTATTTGTTTTGTGGCTGTTTTCATAAAATTTAATAACACTGTAGGCTGCTCATTATTTACTTTATTATATTCATGAAATCATTGGAAAATTCTCCTGAATAAGTTCTAGTCTTCTGTTAAGTCTCAGCTTGACTTCCTCAAAGAAGCTTTTCCGGACCTGTAGTCTAAATTATTTTCCTATTTTATGGTAATCTTCAGTTTTCCATGTCAGTACATCTTGGGTTTGTAATTAAATATTCACTTGTTGATTTTTTTCAATGTCTGTCCCTCACACTTTTACTCTAAGCTCCATGACTATGTTGGTTTCCAATGAATTCCCATGGCCTGGCACAGTGGTTGGCGTATAATAGGTGTTTAACAAATATTTGTCAAATTAATGAATCAAAATGCAAAGCAATTCTTATGTCACAGCTCCTTAATTTGGAAAGAGAAGGGAAATTAATCATATTTTAAGTGGACATTACTTTTCCAATTAGGTTTGTTTTTTTAAAAAAAACTTTACTGAGACATAAGTTCACATACTGCATAATTTACCCACTAAAAGTGTAAAATTCAATGTTTTTGGAGTATTACATTATTGTTTTAAAAATTGTGTGAAAAATATATAACATAGAATTTGCAATTTTAACCATTTTTAAGTGTGCAATTCAGTGGCATTAATTACCAGATTGTTTTTCTATAAATCTTTATGGATTAGCAATTATACAAAGTAGCTGTAAATTCTTGCCAATTAGCCTGTCCTTTGGAAATACAAGGCTGTTGAAAGGAAAGTTCTCTTTCACTTTTCTTTTCTTTTTAAAACTTAGACCTATATTGAAGGCTTAAAAGAAAGGTTGCTAGATTCAATTACATAAAATGTAAAGCTGTACTTTGAAAAATAAAACAAATACAATCATATCTAAGATTGATTACTATAAGGCACTATCCTTAGTTATTCAGATGATTGTTTCATTTAATCCTCACAACTCCATGAAATAGATACAATAATGATCCCCATTTACCAAAAAGGAAACTGAGGCAGAGGGGGGTTAATAGAACTTGCCCACAGATACAAAACAGAGTGGTAGAATCAGGCTTTAAATCTGGTCGCTTAACTAGGCCTCTATATGATATACTCTAAACTTCATTTGCTCCCAACCAAGTGAAGAAGCAAATAAACTGGTAAAGCATTTGCAACATGTAAGACAAAGATGACAGTTAATATATGGCAACTTTTGTAAATGAATAAGACAACACTCTAATGGATAAATGGATAAAGGACATTAGCAGAAAATTCATAAAATAAAAAATACCAATAGATATATACATGTAAAAATGTTTTATTTCAGGAGTGATTAATGTAAATTATGAAGTAAAACAAGATAGAATTTTTTTCTAGCAGTAATGATAAGGGTATGAGGACATTTTTATTTGTTTGAGTAGTTTTTCAGTGTACATGTTATCTTTATTTTATATTATATAATTGAATTAGCAATCATTTATTTTTAAGCTTTCAACATATGTCTAAGCTTAAAAGAAAAAACGAGAACTTTCCACAGCTTTCTATTTTCCAAAGCACAGGTTAATTGGCAGCCTTTTTTGGAAGGCAATTTGGCACAAGGTATCAAGTTCATTAAAGTATGCCATGTTCTTAGATCCAGTAATTACTCACTTAAGTAATCATCCCAAGGAAATAATCATGTTTCTAAGGATTGATTCAAAGATAGTCCCTAGGATACATAGTTCACGAAGGCAAATAGTTAGAAACAAAACAATATATTATTTATTTTTTTGTTGGTTCATTTGAGGTAACATTGGTTTATAATATGTTTCAGGTGTGCAACATTATAATTCAACATCTGTATACACTACGTGATGCTCACCACCAAAAGTCTAGTTTCCATCTGTCACCATACACTTGAACCCCCTTTACCTGTTTCGCCTTCCCTCCACCCTACTTCCCCTCTGGTAACTACCAATCTGTTGTCTGTGTTACTGAGTTTATTTTCTATTTCTTTTGTTGTTGTTTGTGGAAACAATTTTAAATGTCTGTAGTGGACAGCTGTTGTTTTTACTCATTGTCATTCATATTCCCTTATTCTGGTAATATCACTCTGATTTTGCCGGGTAACACCCCTTCTTCTCCCACATATACAAGTGGTTGGATCCAAGTTGGTCTAGCTAGAGTGAACTATAGAACTAGAACGTTTGAAGGCATTATTAGGAAGTCATGGCTTTTCCCCCACCTGCTGGACTCGGAGTTGAATGGATATTACTCTGGAATTGCTGGTAGCTACCTTGCCAGCAGAGAAAGAGAGCCTCTCTGAGGTTTTAATTACAGATGCAAAAAATTTCTCTTTTGGCCTGCGGAAGTTTAAGTTGTGTGTTCCTTGCAACTGAAAGAGTCCAGACAAATAAATTACCCAACATTAATGGATAAGTTAAATAAATAGTGGCATATGTATACAGTGGCATACCATGCAGGAATTGGAAATGATGTTTCACATTTATTAACATTCGAAAATGCTCATTTTAAACTTTAAAAAGCAAGGTTTGTATGTAGATTTTTTTCAATGCATGACTACATATCTGCATTTAAAATGTCCTAAAAAATTATAACAAATGCATACCATGGTTATTTCTGCATGGTGCAATTATCAGTAAATTTTCTTTTATTCTTTCACTAAAGTGTATTTTCTGATTTTTCTTAAGTGGACCAAAGGTGCAGGAATATACTAAAACTCAGGATTAATGATCTTGAGCGTGTGAAAACAATATCTATCTATCTATCTATCTATCTATCTATCTATCTATATATATATATATTTTCAGCTGAGCCATCCTGCCACCTGTTGGTAGCTCAGCGGCAGCTTAGCTTGGGCTGGGAATTGAACCGCTGTTGCCCAGAGCTCAAACTCTTGAGCAAGCTCTTAACCAACTGAGCCACTTGGCTGGCCCAATATATTTTTGAACTTCAGAGTGAATTTATTTTTAGACATATATATAAAAAATAAAAGTGAGTGGGTTTTTTCTGTACCTTGTAACATTACATCAAATTTCTTATTCTTAATAACCTAAATTAATATTTCTTATTCCAAATTATTCTTTTAAATAACATTTCATTACAAGCTAATGATCAGGACTTAATTTTGCCACGTCTTTCCATACTGCTAACTTTCCTGCTTGTAAATTGGCTATTTGAGTTGACAAGGTATATAAGCCAGAGTTTTGTGACACCAAATTATTTTCCTTTTAAAATCAAGATACTTTTAGACAAAATACTTAGCAAGCAGCCAAAGAATAGAGTCAAAAGGTTACCCTCTCTATGAATTCAGTTCTTTCATCTTGCATTTTCACATTAATCATTGAACTATAACTCCAAAAGAAACTGAAATATTTTTTCTAACATAGGTGATTAGAGCTGTAATAGACTCTTTTGTTACAGCTGCAGCAACTCAGGACAGTGATACCTGAGGGATGGGTTACAGGGAAAAAAACCCCAGGTAATTCTAGGTCCCCTCTTATTTCATTCTAACAAATAGAAGCCAGAGCATGTATGATTAATTCCACCAGGGCAAAGCATTCTGGAAGCTAAAAAGAGGTGGGACCTTACCATGTTGTGTGAGTATAGGGAAGTGGAATTCGGACATAATACCAATAGGTACCCTACTATGAGTAAACACTTGCAGGATTCCAGGTTCTATAATAAGTGCATTACATTATATGATGTAAACTTTAAAGCACCCTGATGAGTGAGCTAGTTGCTATTTTTAGCCTAAGTTATGGATGTGATGTACAAAGAAGTTGAGTAACTTGTCAAAGGTCACAAAAAGTTACTAAGTGATTGAGTTAACATTTCATAACATCATTATTCATAGTAATACTATCCTGGAAACAACCCAAGTATTCATTAACAGTAGTATGGATAATAAATTATCTAGTCACATGATGCAATACTATGCAGGTATGAAAATGATTAAACTACGCTTATCAACAACAACATGGATAAACATCACAAAATAGTGTGATTCCATGTACATAAAGATCAAAAGTAGGCAAAATTAATCAATGGTGTTACAAGTCAAAACAGGAGTTACCTTTGGGAAAGACAGAGGGATTGGTGAATGGAAAGAGTTCCAAAAGGAGATTCTAGGGTCTTGTAATGTTCGATTTTTTAACCTGCATGGTGGTTAAATAGATGTGTCTACTTTGCAGAACTCATTAAGCTGTACACTCATGATTTCTGCATTTTTATAAATGTATGTTACACTTCAATAAAATGTTTACGTTGTAAAATGCAGCACCTCAGTTTAATGGCCCAGTTGTGAAGAACAACACTTGCTTTCTGCTGGGAGAAGTCTTCAGTGAATCTACGTGGAAGTTAGACCACAGATCAGATAGACGCTGAGCAAAAACCAGGGAGTCGACTGAATTGAAGATAGTTGATGTAAGTAAGGACCCCAGACTGCAACATCTCAGGCCAGTGACAGCTCAAAGTGTACAAACCACTTGTGTAGTTGCAAAACTGCATTTTAGCCCAAATGGCATCTTTGTGTGAATTAGAAAAGGCCACTCCTATTGTCAAGTTAATTTACTGCAATCTTCTGGGAACTCATTCAAGTCTAAAAGGACCTGACTGTGAACAGTGCACCCTAGCAGTGTGTAGTGCACAATCTGCACAACTGGGTATGTCGCTCCTGCTGTGACAGTACTCCATGAAAACTTTTACTTCTGCTGAAAGCACCTCACTAGTCACCAAAATAAATGTGTTTCTCACACAAAGTCCGTCCTCTCTTGGTTTTCACTGTTAACACTCAGTGGGGTAAAATCAAATCAGAATCGAGAGCTACAGTGTTTACCACGGCAAGGAAAGAAGGGGGAGTGACAGGGTTCACTGCCCTGCTGAATTCCCTAATCCTCTTTGCTTACCTGGGGACTAAGATAGAATTGGGTAGGGCAGTGGAATGTCATGTAGTAGCCTAGCAACAGCATCTGCAACCATCTTTCATTGAGGAAGTGAAATAAATGCCAAATTGATTTAGCCCGTGATGGCTAGGGACTAACTGCCTAACTTAAATTGGCTCTTAAAGAGGTAAAACACTATAGGTCTGGTCTGTTTTGTGACTGCATCAGCAGGTATTTCATTTTTTTTTCTTTAAAGACACTCAATCCATGTTTATATTTATTTTTAAAACTATTATAAAACAAATATATGTTAAGAAAGAAAGCAAAGAAGAAAGAACACAGATGAACAAAAAGATCAAAATAAAAATTATTTTTCTTGCTATTACCTAAGAATAATCATTCTCTATGTGAGGTTAGAGTAAATGGTTTGGTATATATCCTTACAAACTTTTAAAATGCAAGATTTTATATACATATACAGATATACAAAAAATGTGTATACCTTTTAAGAATGGAAAAAACTGTATTAATATATACAGATAACAAAAGATGAATACAAGTCACGTTTGACTTCTCAATTACAAAAGGTGCTCAAAGTGGTTACCATCAGCATCCAGACACTTCTGATTACAGCAAACTGCTGACTGCTTGAGCAACGTTGACCAAAATGTTAACATCTTGTAAAACATGTAGACATTTTTTTGGCACCCCCAGTATATATACCCACCCATGCCTATGTCTACATATTTATACACACATCTATACCTACTTATACAACTATATATTGTTTCTAGAATTTAGATACTTAATCCCAAAAGAGCACAATGGTAGAAAACAAAGGAGCATTCTTTGTGTGCATGGTTATTTGCATAATCATAATTCAATATTGTAAGAGTTATTATTTGCTAAAACATACAAATAGCCAAGAACTGTTAGGGTGTGTGCAATGCGTTAAGATCACCTTGGCTACGGTGGCTTCATTGATTAATTCTTTGTAGCATACAATGGAGCACACCGTTACTGAGCCCTGATTGCCATAGTAAATTCTATTATTATAATAGCATGGGTTTTATAATGGATAACTATTATAAATCTTTTTACAACAATGCCATTGTTTGGATGCTTTTAATGTTTAGAATCCCAAATTATCCTCTCTGTCTTTACACTGTTTTGTTTCCATAACATTACTTTATTAAAATTATTAATATTCATTTCTGTTCCTGGTACAAAAATAGTGCTCTTGTTTTGTAATTCCTTGCTGCTAAAAGGGATGAGAAATGCTTTAAGTAGCTGCTTTCTAATTAGATAACTTTCCTGCAGCCACCTTTAGAACAGTCAACATAGGAGGCGATTTATGGTTGATAAGGCTGTTGCACAAGAGACTTTATGTAACTTTCTGCCTATTTCAGCAACTTCAACTCTCATCGTTAATGGTAGTGCTCATGAGACTGAATCAGAAACCGCACACAAAGGCAGCATAGGAACCAATGAAGGAAACACACCGTCACTTACCAATAAGTCACTAAAAAGGGGACCACAGTGTGCCCAGCTGCTGAAGCCACGGTGACAATATGGCCATGATTACACTTCATCATCTCTGGAAGAAATGCCTTTGTAGTCTAGAAATAGTTTTTATTAAGAGAGAAAAAAATATTGTTATTTCTGATTTGCAGACCCATAGGGAATATTTTGAAACAAATGTGTATTTTGTTAACATTGTTCCTGGCATAAATGAAAAAAAAACACCTAGATTAACTGCCACATGTGGCAACATAAGGCAACCGGATAGAATGCCAAGATTAGAAAAAGTAAGCTAAACAATGGATACTGAAAACTTTGATAATCCATTTCATTTAAATTGTGAACTTATGTCCGCTGATCCTCCACCTTTTGTCATTGATGTCTTCTATTATCGCACACATTGAATAGGTATAATAATCTAGGGTTACCAAAAGGATTTACATTTAATGTGAAATTGTTAGAAAATAGTTTGGTTATGTCATCAAAATACTGAGGTGCACAATAATCTTCTAGTAGTCACTGAATATTCATGCAATAAATACTTATTGAGCACCTACTATGTGATGGGGATTCAGAAGCAAGTAAGACAATATGCTACATTCTAATGGAGGCAGAAAGATAGGCAAACTGGTAAGTCATAAAAATACAAAGACAGATGTCAGGAACTTGGGAATGTTAACAGAATACAGCATTTTCACCAACTGACTCCAATATTCTTTTGAGATTACTCATCCTAAACTTACATCCAAAAAAACTCTAAGGAACCCTTTTAGGAACTGGCTATTTGGCAATGTTTTGACTCTTCTAATCTTTCTGTCTCCCCCTTTCTCCAGATAGATAGATGATAGATAGATGATAGATAGATAGATAGATAGATAGATAGATAGATAGATAGATAGGAAAGATCTTGAATGGTGAGCTTCATAATAGAGTTTGCAACTTTGGGGCCAGGATATAATAGCAGGCCTGGGTCTCATGAGAATCTGAAAGCAAACTGGGTTCACCTTTTATAGAGTCACAGATGACTCAGATGGTCCCTAATCCCTACTTCATATCTAAATAGGATCACACAGAACTGTGAGGCTCTATCGTAGAATTAAAACATACATAACACCTTAAGTTTATCATTTATTAATTTATTATTATTAATTTTTCTGAGGAGGGAGGAAGAATAATGGATGAGATTTGGTGGTAGCATGAAGAATAATCTCTTTGTGTATTATCCCTGGTACCTGAAAAAACTTTAGTATTGAGTTGATACATCCTTATGTCAACTGACAGCTTCACTTTAAACTTAATCTTTGTGTCTTAGAGAAGGGAATGTTTTTGTAAAGAAATCATACTTACCCAGAAATGTGCAAGTACATTAACTTCAAAAGTCTTTTCAATCTGAGGGTCTTGGGTAGCAAACAAATCCGCTGGATAGACCACACCAGCATTATTTACTAAAATACTAACATTTCCAACTTCTGCCTTCACCTTTAATAATAAGAAAAGAAAAATATCTGTATCATTACAAAGTATGAGGGTAGGATTCCATGCAATGACTGTTAAATAAATATGTTTTCTATTAGCTATGCAGAAAAAGTAAGTTTGAATCTATGTGTCAACATGGAAAAAAAGAACCTTTTAATTTTAGGTACTTAATTTCAAAACAGCTCTGTTTGTAAGTTTGCTCAGTAGAAACTTCTTTCGCAATTTTGTCTTGTGACTTTGCTGTATTGATTACAGCTCAAGAGTCATTTGGCTAACATAAGCAGAGCCAGTGACAAATAAGCTGTATTTATTTTTTAAATACTACCTCAAAACGTAGGCAAAGAAACAGTAAAATTCATTGGCAAATGCAGGACCTATTACGGGGAACTACGTAAAACCGATTACACCATTAAGCTAGTTACATCTTCTATCTATTTACTGATCACTCCATTCTATTGCTCATCGACCTTTCTCCATCAGGAGGCAGTGGGCTTAAGGGCTAGCAATGTAAGAATATCTTATTCAATAGTCAATAATACAGTAATAACTATGTATAATGCCAGGTGGGAACTAGACTAGTCAGGGGGCTTACTTCTTAAATTATATAAATGTCTAACCACTATGCTATTCACCTGAAATTAATATAAAACAATATTGAATGTCAACTGTAATTGAAAAATTGAAAAAGGGGTGTGTGTGTGGGGGGTGAAGGAGAATAAGAGGTCCAAATTTCCAGGTATAATACAAATAAGTTATGGAGATGTAATGCACGCATAGGAAATATAGTCAATAACATTGTGATAGCATAGTACAGTGTCAGATGCTTGCTGGACTTAACATCGTGATCACTTCTTTAGGTATATAAATGAGAATAACTATGGTGTACCCCTGAAACTAATATAATGTTGTATGTTAGCTATATTTTAATAAAAACCTTTTAAAAAAAGAGTATCTTATTCGATATTTTTATGATTCTTTGAGTAACTAAGCTTCTTGGTGGATTGGCCCTAGAGTTACAATGCATTTTAATTATACATTGTGTTCCAAATAAAAGCTAGCTTCTCTTAATAGAGTTATCATTATTTAGATAGTGCTGCAGTGTGTTGGGGGTTTAAGGGGGAGGTGGCAACTAGCCTATTAAAAATGTTCACGTATGTAAGTGATTTCATTATCTCACTTTACACGATTTCATTATCTCATTTAATTCTCACAATTCTATGAGGTAGCAATTCAGTATGCTCATTTTAAAGATGAGGAACACAAAACATAGACTGGCTAACTTTCTCGCTAAAGGTCACATGGCTATAAAAGTAGCGTGGAGCTGGCACTCAAACCTCAAATAGAAAGGAAGTCAGGAGGGGAAGGCCTATCAAAATCTTAGTACGACATCAGTGTGCAGTTTTGAAGCCTCCTTATCCAGAGATGAATTTCATCAGGTTGTATTTAAATTATTAAAGAGTCAAGCTAAAACTGTTGTTCAGAATAATGCCCCTAAGTTATTGAGTAAAACAGTATTTTATGTGGTTGAATTGATGAAGCTGTGTAATACCTCCAAATGAATGTGAATCAAAATATAAATTACTGTTATATATTGCCAAAGTGTTTGCCTAGACCCTCTTCACCCTTCCTTCATCCTTGAGCTCCCCATCATCACCTGTTATCTCCCCAAGATGTGAATGTCTGTTTTGTACATTTCTAAATAATGAAATCAAGCTGCGCATTTAATTGTTTAGGTGGCATAAAATTGTCCTGATACCATAATAGCCACATCTAAATAGCTATTCAAAATATCTGATAATCATATCTCGTGCATCCTGTTTAAAGCATATAGTTCATCTTAGAACAATTTCAGTAAAAACACTACAGTTAAAATACATGGGATAGGTTCAAATAAAATTATCTTTTCCAGAAAAGCCTATTCTCAGATGAATCTGGAAATTAAAGTTTTCCATTTAGGTAACTAAGGATGTTGGGCTAGTAAATCCCCTTAATAGTGGCTAATAACAAAATCATATAGACAATACTGGCTGTTCTGTTATAATACTAATAACTAATTCTTACAAAGTGACCACTGACTGCCAGGTATTGTTCTAAGAACTTTATATCATTAATTCATTTAATCCTCATAACAACCCTATGGGGTAGGTACTGCTATGGTCCCCATTTTATAATTGAGGAAAGTTGGGCACAGAGAGGTTAGATAACTTGCCCAAGGTAATAGAGCTACTATTAACTAGAAGAATGCTCATCTCTATAAAGAGAATAAGTGTTAATCTAAGTAAAACAGCTATTGTTAAATGCAGATGTTTCTTACCTATAGGCCTTGATCATACTGTACCCCTTCCAGGAAAGGAATTTCCCACCATGGACTGGGTAATTTCTACTTATTCTTTTGACTTAGCTCAGGCCTCACCAATAGTAGAGGCATCAGTTGGAAACAAAAGATTATAATTTAAAAACAGAAATTAGAAATGTCCCCAAATCTAAAATTCCCTAAAAGTTAAGGGGCTCTCAAGTCTGGCTGAATCAGAATCTTTCTACTGTACTGAATCAGAATATCCAGGGTTGAGGGCCAGGGGTGTGAATGTTAAGGGAATTTTACTGACCTAGCTACCATTACCACGTTTAGAACATGTACGAGTGTGTTGAGCGTGAAACACCATTTTATATATATATCACATCTCAGTTGTACGTAGAACAGGCAAATAACGCTATATAGAAATGGACATATCTATGATCGAAGCCTGATAAATAGGTTTATCCAAATTTCCTAACCCAGTTCTTTGGACTTCAGAAGACACTGTCAGAGATCTGCCGGGTCATCCAAAGATTTACCCGAATCAGAGTCAGATCGGAGATGTGCGGGTGAGTAGGGTACTAAACATGCAGATTCCTGGGCCCAGCCCTCTACCTACTGAAAGAAAACCTCTTGGGTGCCAATTTTTTTTTTTAAATGGGGAATTGGGAGAGGGGAACAGCGTTGGGGAATTGGGGAAGGGGAACAGACAAGTTGCTGTCCTTTTGTTCTTCAGTCTAGTTGTGGAAGAGGTCACTTCACTGGCCCATGTTGGTATTATCATTGTGCTCTTCCCGAGTAAGGCAGATCGGTCACTGGCCTCTGGACAGCCGCTGACGGCAGCTCTTGGCAGCTCACACCAGCTGCCAGCCGCTCACGCTGGCTGCCGGCCACACACGGTAGCTTATGGCAGCCAACTGCAGCAGGGGCTCCAGCCTATGCCATTGCTGGCTACTCAAGGCAGCCCAGCTCCAGGTTGAGCTGTTGTTCACTATCTTAGCTGTGGAGGGTGCAATGTAACTGACCATCATGTGGGATCTGAACTGGGGCCCCGCTGCTCAGAGCTGGTGTCCCAAGCCAACTCTTAACTAATGCGCCACTCGGCCAGCCCTGGGTGCCTATTTTTTAACAAGCTCCCAGAAAGGTTCCAGGACACACTAAAGTTGGGGAGCCTCAGTTCTAGGTTCTAGTTCTGGGTCTGCCACTACCTACTTGCACAACTTTGGGCAAATCACAACGTTTCTGTTAGCTTGTCTAGATCATGACTGGGTCATCTCCAAACCCCTCCCTCCTCTGACATGATTGATTCTAACCAAATGTAACATTTCACCTTCTTCGCAGAGCTATAAATATCTTCTCGGTTACTGCAGTCTACCACAAAGGCATATGCCTTTGCACCCAGTTTCCTGCATTCAGCAGCCGTTTCCTCAACTCCATGCTAGGAAAAGCATCAAGGAAGGCAAAGAGAACAAAATAAGTGATGTGAGCACATTATATCAACAGCTGAAAATAATTAAAAGCAGTCAGATTCTTTTAAACTAGGATTGGGCAAGAATTTAACTGACACATTTTTGACAAGGACACAAGCACATTTGTTCTCAGTACGTTGACAAACTTCTTTTTGGAACTGAACTTAAAACAAGCCTTATAAAAGAAGATAAAGATCTTAAACTACTGTTTTGGTATCCATGAATTTTACATTGCGAATATACATATGTACGAGGAGGTATGTGTGTGTGTTCCATATCAGGCTTTAAAAAAAAAAAAAACCACATTAAGGTTTTTTTTTCCTGTGTCACTAAAAGCTATTCATGGGCATCAGTTTTCTGATTGCAAAATAAGGAGTTAACTACAAATTCACTCATTCATTCACTCACTCACTCATTCCTCCTTTTAATGTCGAACTCAAATTAACAGCGCTTAGAAAGACCTCATGGACACAAATATGAAAGGGTCAAAGTCCTAACCTGTGGGCTCATAGTATAGTAGAAAGAAACATAAAATAAGTATATTTAGGTAGGACCATATGAAATTGTTATTGTTTTAGAATAAAAGATTGAATATTAGCAGTTTTGTATGGTTCAAACTAATACAAAACGGCAGGTATAATAATGGAGATCTATAGAGAGAGTTAAGGGGACGCAGAGAATGGGTATGAATACCATTGTAGAAGAGGTTACCTGAGTTAGGTATTAAGGATGAGTAGAACAGCCATGCAGAAAGGGGCAGGGCATGCCAGGCAGAATGTAAGCAAAGGGACAGACAGCAGAAAGGTTCTACGGGAAGCACTAGCAGATTAGTGTTGCTGGGTCATAAAGGCCAGTGGCAGTCCAAATGAACGGGCATTACATGTCATATTAAATGTGTGATATTTGGGGCCAGCTGAGTTGCTCAGTTGGTTAAGAGCTCGCTCAAGAGTTTGAGCTCTGAGCAACAGCGGTTCGATGCCCGGCCCGAGCTGAGCTGCCGCTGAGCTGCCAATAGGTGACAGGATGGCTCAGCTAAAAAAACAAAACAAAAACTAAAAAATTTAAATAAATAAATGTGCGATATTTGGCATATACCATGTGCCAGACACTGTGCTAAATTATTTGTGTTCATTATTTGGTATAATCCTCCCAGCCCTCTAAGGTCAGTACTGTTTCATCCATTTTTCAGAAAAGAACCCTAAAGCTTGTAGGAAGTTACCCACGAAATTGGGTAAGTTATCTGCGAAGAAGTAGAAAGCTCAGATGAGCCTGACCACACCACTATACCAGACATTCACCACCTTGACCACACCAAACTAGGCTGGGCCTACCTAGCTTGTATCTTTCATTGCACGTGTAATTATTTAATGTCTGTTTTCCTTATTAGAGTAAGGGCATAGGACCCTACTTCCTTTGTGCCACTGTGTTCTTAATATCTAGGCAACAGATACTCAAATAGGATTTGTTGATTGCTATCTCAATCATTCACTCACTGGGTTAGCACTCATCTAACTTCCCATCTAAATTCATGTAAATTCATTACATCCCATGAATTCCTGTTTACTCATTGGATGTTAATAATGTTAAGGTGTGGTGTCTCAGGCCACCAGGTGCTATCCAGAAACCTCCTTGTACATCAACCACTGGCCAAACATGAGATAAGATTCTAAGTCCTCTCTTCCTGAAGACTACACCTATCCTGGTAAAAATTACATCGAATATTTTTTTTCTTTTTAATTTTTTTAAACTAAAATATGATTTAAAAAATTACCCTTGGAAATTAGTATGGCATAGTAATGTTGCTTTCTGTTGGGTATCTTTTAAATCCACTCATCTCAGTAACTGCAAGTAGGGTTTTTTCCTAAGTAGGAACAAACCTCTTACTCTTCATATACTAGCTAAAACAATTACTTTTTGCATGTGGTTAAGATAAAGGGATAAGTGAAATCAAGTTCAGGAGGCAATTACAAATTATTTTCAGGGCAAAAGTGAGGGTAAATTTTCAGTGTCAAATGAGCAATAACTGAGAATCATATTATCATCTAGATCTGTTTATCATGTGATCATAAACACATTAATTAATCTGCATTCTCCCTCCTAACCCTACCCCCCAACTCCCCCCCCCCTGTAAAATAGCAACAGTAATTTTTTTCTAGCTACTTTACAGAGATGCTGTAAGGGGTTGTTCCCTGCAAAATGTATACATGTCTACAGATTAAAGTTATCAGAAAGTAAAACATAGTAAGACTGTTACCTTATTTATATCCCACAGAACCAGTTTACTTTTCAGTTTGGCAAATTCATAGGCAGTCAGTCTCCCGATTCCATGTCCAGCTCCAGTAATCAGGACGATTTCTCCGGTGACTGATTTTTTCTTCTTAGGAATAAAAAGCTTCAGGAGCGACTCTAAGATGCAGATGATCAGCATGGGCAGAAGCAGGAGGCTGCTTAGAAAGAACTGCATCGTTTTTGGTGTTGCGAGGAATTGGTATGTTTTACCACCCACGAAAAATTGCTTCCGGGGAGTTGTTCCCTCCAACACTAGCAAGAATAAAAAGAAAAGCAAGGAAGGGCTCCTTTATCCAAGAGAAACAAACAACTCTGAAACCGTTCCTTCCGCTGGGCTGGGCTTGATTAGGTCCTTTGCAATTGGCTCAGGCTGCAGTGCGGGGCGACTGCTCGCTGGCTCAGAAATCTGGGAGGGGCAAAGTCCGGAGGAGAGCAAAGCAGCCTGGTTTTGGTATGCACAGCGCCCACCAGGTGCGTGGCCAAAGTAGTTTTCCACCCACTTTCTCCTGATCGCGTCAGCCGACCTAGGAGGGTTGTCGCTCCCCCCCCCCCACCACCCCAGCCGCGCCCCCTCTAAATTGGATAAATTCCTCTTAAAGTTACAAGTGTATAACGGACGTGTCCGCAGTCCAGATGCTTGTTGAAGCCTGATGGTTGCTGATCACTAGTTAAGTGATGCAAATTGCGTTTCGGACTTCAATGAACCTAGGCAGGCAACCAGTTGTTGCGTCCCGGCTGAGAAATAACGTTACATCACATTTTAGTGTGAACTAAGCACGGTTTTTGGAGGACAGAGGAAGTTTTGTCCTTTTAGGGACAACGATAATCAAGACCCAAGAAATATCTGATCATATAAAAGGGATTGTTTCCACAAGAAAGAACACCGTATTTGGATAACTTTCATTCCCTCAACCTATTAGAACTTGTGAAAAAAACATATTACCCTTTCGTAATTGTGTATTTATCCAGCTTAATAAGTCGCTGCCTACAAAATGGATAATAAGGTAGAAAGAAAATTACCTTGTCTAAAGATTACTTATGTAATTTTTGGTTTAGTAGCCTACCTACGAGTATGTAAGTATTCAATCAATATATAACTGGTTGGGGGGGGAGTGGGAGGCGGATTGGGGGAAGGGGGTTGTCACTTTGAGGGGTAAAAAGGATAACTATTGCACTGTGTTGTACACCTGAAACAAATATATATATATATATATATATATATATATATATATATATATATATATATATTCTAGTGATTTTTAAAAATCCTAGCGATTATGGAAAAAGAAAAAAAGACCCAACTCTGGGCTTGTGTGCAGTAAGAGTTTAATAATTGTCTGTTGCATGTAATTTTTTCAATTCAGTTCTTGACAGTAATTGAATTGGGGCTTTTTGAAAGACACTACAGTGCTTGGAAAGAGACTTTTGTCATGTGTATTTAAGAGGCAGGAAGAGCGCAAGAAATGGAAGTTCTCAAATAATTTCTATTCATTCTCCCCTCTTACTCAAGCACTCTTACACTATTATTATAGGGGAGGAAGAGAAAGTGGCAGTCTTGCAAAAGGAGAACTCCACTATGCAGTTCTTGAATGTTCTCAGTCTCATGGTAACTCTTTCTTACAGCCCTCAAATTCAAGTTTACAATACACAAACTATGTATAGAAAGTTTACTGTTTCCAGAGCTTTTTTTCCATATCTATTATCTCATATGATTTTCAAAAAGCCTCCTAGGAAGTAGAGAAAAAAATTAGTTTTTTCCTTATTTTATTAATGAATAAATCAGTTATTGACCTTGTAAAGCTCCCACAACAAGTAAAAATTTGGGGCTTGACACAGGGTCACTTTGTCAAGCTTTTTTGCCCAGCACATATAGGAAGAAATCACATTTTCTTTTTTTGTTTTTTAATTTTATTGGGGAACAGCCATGGTCATTGGTTACACATTGCTTTCATGCTACAATGGCATAGTTGACTCTTTTAAGGAGGGCACAGCTCACAGTGGCCCATGCAGGGATCGAACTGGCAACCTTGGTGTTAACACCATGCCCTAACCAACTGAGCAAACTGGTCACGCCAGAAGTCACATTTTCCATGTGTTTCTTTTTGTATATGCTGACTTTAATATACACTGAGGCTCTGACTCTATTTTCCTTAAGAAATTGCATTAAGAAAAAACGGGGTGGTTTTGACTCACTAAGTTAACCAAGGTTCCATTGCTCTAGGCTAGGGAAAGAATCCATGGTTGAAAGCATTCATACCTGAATCCCATATGTGTACATGACTTTACCTCCCTGAACATGTGTAAAATTGGGTTGTTACTACTATCCTACAGGATTCTTGTGAAGTTCAAATGAGTTAACATAAAGGAGAGTACTTTATCAACAATTCAACTCTATATAAATTATAATTAACACTAATATAATTATAACATGAATGATTTTGTGAGTTTTGTGAAAGGTTTCTTGAGATGATTAACTACTACTCTGATACAGTGTTAAAATATGTGGTTTTATATTATTGTGGTTTTAAAGAATACCATGCACTGGGAGAGCTTAAACTATTTTATATGTGGAACATCTTAGTTTCTTGCTGCCTTCCCACTTGTTGAAGTAGCATTAAAAAAAAAAGGTAAACATAAGGGTTCTCTCAACAATACAATTTACTATGTATGGTCAGGCATTATATTGAAAGAAAAAACAACAACAAAGCAAAACAGATGCATTTGAATAAGCTAACATCCAATTCCCTCCAGCTCTCAAATTCAGATTTCAGAGCCAAGTGTGAAGGCTTCTATCCAAGAATGACCAAAAAAAAAAAAAACCTATTCAAGACCTAGACAATTCTTTTTATCCTCTCCATAATCTTAAGCAATAGGTTCAATTGGATCTCTATTACATGGATGAAGAAATAAAGGATTAAGACAAATTAAACAGATTGTCTGAGATCACAATGTTATATAAACAGTTGAGTTGAATTTAAGTGTAGGTCCTTATGACTGCGCTTTAGATTGCCTTCTTAAGGGCAAAAAAGAAAAGCTAAGCCAATTCTAAATCACTGTGAAAATCCGAAAGGATCAAAACTTCCACTGTTTATAACATCTCCTACTATTCATAACTCCAAGAGCATTCATAACACTTCCCTCTCATACCATTATATAACTTAAATGACTAATTAGCAAGGAATAGAGTATAGCTGTTGAAACAGTGAACTTTAATCCCTGCTAATGTTTTTATTAGCTATTAGCTATGTGATCTCTGGTTAAGTACTTACCCTATCCTCTCATCTGTAAAATGGATATAATAGCAGCTTGATTGAGTACATGAGATATTTAAAACGCACAGAGCAACTTATATACAAATGTACATAATGAATGATAGCTATTACTAGATCTGAATCAGTCATCAGTAAGGGGTCTATGTTTGTAAGGCTCTCTGGCTCTGTAGAATCTAGAGGATTCAGAATGAAAGGCCACCATACTTAGCACTTGCTCAAGCCAGTGAAGAACAGTCACTTTTCTTCTCCCTGTTACACTAAAGAATACTGAGGAAGACCATCCAGAAATAATTCTCAGACTGTGTTGAAGGAAGTACTTTGAATGGTTTTCTTGTCATTCTTTGATAGAGGCCTTCACACTTGGCTCTGAAATCTGAATTTGACAGCTGGAGGGAGTTAGATGTTAGCTTATCCAAATGCATCTAGTTTTTTGTTTGTTTAAGTAATGAATTCAAGGTAATGAGTATATCTGGTTTGAAAATGATTCAGCAGGGAAGACATTAAAAAGGCACAGTCTTTAGTCTGACATTTGTCTAACTTCTCAGGTCAACTACTTTTACTCCATTTAGCTGTTTATTCCATGCATCTAAAACAGGCTTACAGTGCCATTTCCTGATTAATTAATAGTAGATATTATTGATCAGTTTTCTCCTGTGACAGCTGAGTATGTAGCTCACTTATTCCTCCCCTAACTCCCTTCTCCATATATATATATATATATATATGTATCCCAATATATATATCCCAATATATATATCCCAATATATCCCAATATATATATATCCCAATATATATATATATATATATATATCCCAATATATCCCAATGTAATTATATTATTATCTTTACTACTTTTATTTGGTTATATTGAAAACTTTCACAATTTTAATGTCTTATTCCAGCAAATATATGCTGAAACTTTTGGCTTCCCATTTTGTAAGAGGAGGATATGCCCTATTCTTTTCCTGAGCTGTCCGTTTCTATTATGTCCCAACTTCTATTATCTGCATACATTTACTTTCACAGTGTCAGGACTGGTAATATTTAGTTCCTGTTTTGTAACTATAATGTTTTCTGTGCTTGGTTTATTGGTTGATTCTGAAAAATGAAAGTCAACAAATATCATTTACATTCTGTGACTAACTACAGTGGTCTTCCTCAGCATGATGCTGCTTATTAGATTGTCTGGGACAGGCTAGACCAGAAGAAATCACTGTCGTCTCGAAATTATTCATCACTGGTCTTTATGAAATCTGAGGCAGCATAGCATTAGAGAAAAGCCTCTGAAGTTAAATTGGAATACTAGCTCTGTCACTCTCTAGATGTGTAAATTTAGACGAGTTATTTAAACTCTTTTTGCCTCGGATTCCTTATCAATAAAGCTACAGGATTGTCAAGAGGATTTGAAGAATTAGCATTTATAAAGTATTTAGAACAATGCTTGGTACATTGTAAGTGTTATATGAATTTTGAAAAAAAAATCAACAAATGGCTTTAGGTGCTCATCTAAGAGGAAAATTTGGAGGTAGCCAATGCTATAAAACAGCGGTTCTCAACCTGTGGGTCGCGACCCCTTTGGGTGGTCCAACGACCCTTTCACAGGGGTCGCCTAAGACCATCAGAAAACACATATTTTCGATGGTCTTAGGAACCGAGACACCGCTCCTCTATCCGTCTCCAGGCCCACATGCAGATACGCCCACATACGAGTACCCAGCGACCCCTGTGAAAGGGTCGTTCGACCCCCAAAGGGGTCGCGATCCACAGGTTGAGAACCGCTGCTAGAGGCTGGTGTGCCTCAGGTTCAGGAGAGAATCCCAGATGGATGCAAAAAAACCCCTCCCAAGTTACGGGGCCAGGTGTGCACACTGGTTTGAAGTAAACAGAACCGTTGGAACTGGTATGCATTGTAAATGTACAGTAAGCAGTCATCAAAGTTTGGTGGGAGGAGAGGGAAGCAAAGAAAGGGGGAAAAGAAACTTTCAAAAAGTCCCAAGCCAAATCATTGTCAAATTGAATTACATCAGAGGTTTAAATTTCAAAAACAGAAAA